AAAACACAGCTTTTCAATAATTTATTTTGGGTTTATTTTACTCGCAAATAAAAATTGAGGAACGGGTCATTTTTAATGTACTCTGTAGATCAGAAATAAAAAATGAAGCCGGGAAGCCTCTATTATGTTTACAAATAAAACATTGGAAACTTTCTTTCAGTAAGTACTTACATACATTTAATTTATTGGGCACTTTGTTGATTTTTTATAAAAGGTTGATGTAACTATAGTAAATCGGAAAAAAATTTGTTTTTGTAGAAAATTGTGTACTTATTGTTATTGTTATTGTTTATTATTAATTGGATAAAAAAATTTGTTGAGGAGCGAAGACACGTTAAATACTGGAGTTGAAAGGAGGCCTTTTTGCAAATTTCGAGGCCGAGTTTCTGTCCTTTGAAAGTTAGAAGACGCACGTTTCTGCGTTAAAGTTTGGTGGCAAGGTGTTGCCTTTCGCCGTGTAAACAATCTTGTTGTTTGTCAAATAGAATTCAGTACGCGGTAATCAAGAGTTCAGCCAAGGTCGAGTTAAAGTATTTAAGAAATCGCACGTTACAGTTTGTGGTAGCAGTCTTCATTGAAGTTGTCGTCCACGTTAAACGGACAGCCATCAATTCGTAGGTGGTGTGTTTACGTAATGATTACTTGCATTTGGGAGTGTAGAATACATTTTCGGCAATGTGCTCTTTCCGAGGCGCATATTGCTCTTTTGCGCCGTAAGGCGATCGCCTGACCTCCCCCCCCCCCCTTTGGGCCGGCCCTGTGCTCAACTATGGCAGAGTGGCATCAACCGGTTCTGAAATTGACATAAAATGCTATCAAAATCAGTCAAAACATTTTATTCACACCTCGAAACAAGCATTTCAAGATGGCACCTAGACTATTTGTGATGGTGGTGATCACGATCACGTGTCATTTATTAGGAACCATATTTTGATCACGAATTCAGAGGAATTGTGGAAGGATTTTTTTTATTGCGAAAGGTTTTTTGACTGCAGGGAGTAAATGCGGTGCTTGTAGAGCGATTACTACATCGACTTCAGAGATTGCGAATGGACTTTTGACGTGATTGTGGGTCCAAAACTATCACGCGATATTGAGTCTTTACTTTCTATAAACTAGACCAGCCACTTTAAACACATCCTGTTTCATTGTTAACTCCAGTTTTCCTTTTGAATTCTAATGTATCAAAGGCAGCGTAAATCGTTCCAGTCGAGAAAATCGATAAGTTATAAGTTGGGCACACTTTACAATCTATCTTTGGCATATGTGTCTTAAGAGCAAACAACCTTTTGAAGTTACCTACACCAAAGAGAAACACTTCTGCACTAACACATAATAACCGTGTCTTGAAATAATGCAATACCAGATTTCTTATTAAGCTTCTGATAATTTCCTTATAATATAATACTGAACTTCAGAATAGGTTTCCAATCTCTCACCGAATGTATGTAATTTCAATAATGTGTATGTTTTCGTCGATGATAGATTGAGCTTTCACAAAACGTTTAGACAAGAGGAAACGTTTAAAAAGTGACTGTAATGTAATGTAACCCAAATGGCTTCATTCATATATCCATAAAAATACATAAAGCTCCAGATTTAAAGAATCATTTGTGTTGTTCTGTGGTAAGAATAACACTAAACAATGTCATCTATTTCGTCGAGCACGGTTAAGAACACGCCGTATAGCAATTACCACATCATTAAGTTGTTGGATAGAGACTACGAACATGACAATTCTACAAAGCTTGCGGTAATGTTGCGATAAGAAGATTACCTATTTCCTGTTGCATTGAAGTGAATGTTTGTTAAATTTCGACTAAAACTTAGTTGTGTGGTTAGGTATTTTGTTTTGTAAGCTTCTTAAGGGATTTACTCCAAAGCAAACAAAACTGAGAAGTCGGCTAATTTCTGAAAATAATTATTACACTCTTACGGATTTCATTCTGAGAGTCTTAATTTAATTCCCTTCGTGACAGAATGAAGTCCGACGGAAGAGAACATTTTCAATATCTGTACATTTTGCTTATAAACGTCAATTTATTTAACTGTGATCCACGTCAACCTGATTGCCATGTAAAACTGAAAATTATATAATGTCATGTAGGGGTGTAAAGAGGCATGTGCGACGTTTTTCCTACGTTTGTTGGTTGCTTACGCCAGGATTGTCATGATGAAAGCTATGTTGTTAGGTACAGTAAAATGCATTATAAAATAATATGCATGCAAAGACGCAATATTTACTGAGAAAACTTTCTATTCGGTCTCGACAGTAATTCTAGTTAGTGGTAATTAATTGCGACGTTTAGGTAATGTTTTCCATAAAATGTCTTTACATTAAAATACAGTTACGGATGTTTAAAGAATCATTAAGAACTGTAAAGACAAAAATTGTGAAATTGAAACTCAAGTATGTAGAAGGTGAACTGAAACGAGTTGTAAATCAGCATATGCATGAATAAAGCGCATTTTTGGTAATGCAGGTCAGTATTTTATTAGCGAAGTTTAAAATTATCGATCTCACGAGTAATTTTGGCTGCGTAAAATTTTTATACTGGTAGCGCTATCTAACGGTAAAATTATAGCACCTCCGAAACCCATATCGAAATTATTTTCTTCAATTATCGATCTCACAAGTAATCTAACTCAAAATAGACTAGTGCCTGCACATCTACACTATAGCAGAAAGCTTTTAGTGAAAATTTGAATTCTCTAGCTATTGTAGTTGTGGAGATCTCACGCGGACAGCCGGCCTGCCAGTCATAACGAATATAATAGCTTATTTTTTTCAAAAATGCGCTAAAAATAACACCTTTTTTCACAATCCTTAAATATTATTTTGTAACGGTCTATGTTGCATAAAGGGTTGAAACCGAGGTTGAAACTTCCGTTTGATTAACAAAGTTTTGAAATTCTAAACTAAGTCTGTATCTCTATACAAAAATTAAATGGATTGTTATCTGACGTCGTTAGCCCAAATTTTTTACTCTTTTCCCCTTCTCAGCAAATAAAAAATGCATATATTTCCACATGTAGTATATTTTTATACTTCTTATGCTTTAAATTACCTTAAATTTAAATGGCCAGCTCATTCTACATTCTAAATGCCCTAAATTCTCACATTTGAACAGTCTATGTACACACATAAACGCCTTAAACCCTTGAATTTGGGAAATTGATGTGTTGAAATTATGGAATAGAAATTCCTTAAAATATAAGTGAATTCTAAATCCGAACCAAATTCAATAGGCTCTTAAATTTCCAAATTAATATTAATATAGAAAATTAAACACTAATCAATCAAAGTTTTAGGTTAGATTTGATACAAAATCCTTCTATATTAGTTCTTAAATGTTTACTTTGAATACTTAAACAGAAATAAATTGGACTGCGTTCTTCTCGCTCACTGAATGAGTTGTTCTTTACATTTAGGTACAGCTGGATTGTAAGGATTCAGATGTTTTCTCTCAACAATGCATTTGGAAACCCGTCGATATTCAATTATTCAATTATTGGCGTACATTTTTCTTGATTACATTGGGCCCCATTTTCTATGTTGGTTTAGTACTTGTAATCGGAGATTTAACTTCCAAGAACGTGATTTCTTTACCCTACTCAGATTACTGAACTTTGTTACTGTTTAGTATAATTGGAAAAAATTCCCAGTAAGAAGTTGCACAAAGAATACGATTATAATGACGTCTCCAACAATGGGACCGATTGAACTAAGTCTATTGTTAAAATGTTGACAGTTTTTTAGTTATAATTTTGCCATTTTGTACGATTTAATTTAAGGCTCTTGTGATACGTTACGAAATACAACGCAAAGTTTGTCTTTAACGCGATGTGATGAAATCGGTCGGTTAACTCGACGGAAAATTCAATGCTTGCTACACTACCCCCCTGGAATTTATTCCAGTTATGGCCGTGCTAAACTAATCGGGCCATACCCACTTATTCCGTAAAACGTCGTTGGACATTACAACGCACGGCTATTTTTATTAACCTTTAACAGATAAAAATTCTGTACAAAAAGAAAAACACTTGCACCTACATCATTTTACAATGCCTTATCAAATTAAATGAAAGCAATAATTTGTTTTTTTTAATCTAATGACCTTAAATTCAATTTAAATCAACTCCAGCGTAAACAGTCTTTCCCATAATCGTAGAATAATTACACAATACGGAATTTGTACGTGGTGTCACAGCACTATAATCTTCTTCCTCAAAATAATTACTTTTTACTTCCATTTCACTTAAGATAGTTATTTACTTACTAAATTAGCAGACAAATCAATTTTCTCTAACCTTCAATTGTCGACATTTCGATAACTACTTTACATTCAATTAAAGGTATTGTGATACCCTGTTGGGGTTCTGTAAATCGAGACATAGGTAACCAGAAACAAAATAGTTCAGAATACCGCACAAATATTCTCGCCGCAATACTTGTGAAACCCGAAATGATTAAAATTGCCAACATTCAGTTGTGTAAACCACTGAAATTTTTTAATTATTTTGCTGCCGTGCACAGTTTTAGCGGCGAAAAGTTTTTATAAGCTTTCGGACCCTGCCTACCACATTTACAACAAATTGCGCTTATTGAGTTCACGTAGGTGAACATTTTATACCTAGCTGAGACGAAATTTGCCGATACAGGCCATAAAATTTGATCCGTAGTGAAATATCATCCCTTAGTTAATGAATAGGGCCTTAATTTACCTTCAAACTTTATTCTCGACGATATTGTAAACAAGTTGTTTACATCATCCGGCTCTCCCTTGAATTTACAATTTCATACACTTGTCATTTCACACCTTGGTCTAAATTGTGCCCTGCATGTTACGTAAGTATATTTACAGGTACTTTTTGAGATACTCGAACTGCATGTTTTTATTATAAATACGAGTACTATGACGCTATTAAACCAAACTTATTGTTAATATTGTAACAGGCTTTGCAAAGTTACGAGGTTAAGTGGTTATTTCTTGTTTCAGGTGACGGGAATTGTGGGTCGAGCAGATGTCCTGGCCTGTGTGTTCTTCCTAGTTTCGCTTCTGGCATATCACGGGTAATAAACTTTAGCATTACGTTTATACGGCTTTGTGTATTACGTAGTTATTCTCGAATATATTTATGCATGTTCTCGTTTGACTGCAAAATAGTGTTTCAACGGTTTGTAACAAAACGCCAAGAGGGGTAATGTACGACAAAAAAAACAAAGCGGAAAATACACAACAAAGGTCTCAGTATGTGTTGTTTGGTCAAGATGTTAGTATACTCGTATAATGCTTTGTATAAACTACCTCGGAATCTAACATCAAAGCAATGCTGACGAAACTTAAAAAGAAAATTTTACTCTGATCTTGTAACTTACGCCAACCGTTTACTATTATTTCTGGAGGTAATAGCGCTTTGTTGCAAATGACTACAAGATTTCACACTCCACGCTAACAATTCTTTTTAAAGCGTTCTTTGCAAAGCGTTCTTTGACTACAAGATTTCACACTCCACGCTAACAATTCTTTTTAAAGCGTTCTTTGTTTATTTTACATCTTTATAATTTATAAAATTTGGAACTATGCAATCAAGAAGCTATTAATTGAACCATGAGGACCAGTTACTGAAAAAATATACACTAAAAAGTATCATTCGGATTTAATCATAGGCACATCGTAATTTCATTTGAGCCAGCCACTGTCACCATTTTACTTTTTAGACAATCTCCCTTTAAATTTTTGAATCATAGAGAAAAAGCTCACTTTACGTACCCTTCATGTAGAGAACTTTGAAAGGGCTTCTGTTACGAATTCAGTAAGGGGAGTGTTTATTTATTTATTGACCCGCATAATGCTTTTTAGAGGTGCCCCTGCAGAAAGTCTTAAGTTGTTCTGTACTACTCCGGTATTTAACTTACAAATTAGGAAAACCTAATTCGGAATAGCAGGCAGGATGCTCGAAACTGATCTAAGGAAAGTCCCATCTATACCACAGATGAAAATTTCTTACCTCGGCCCAAGTTCGAACACCCGACCTCTAGCTATGTAGCCCAATTCTCTACCAGTGAGCTATACAGCGATTGAAAAGACTAAAAGTGTTTAGAGACTAAATTACCAATAATATCAAAGTATAGACCACCACAGTTTTTTTTAAATAGACACATGATGGTTAAAAAAAGAAAATGTTAAGCAAATAGAGATGTCCTATTTGGCAAAGTAAGTGGATATCCTTTGACAATTTTTTCCGAAAATAAATCTATTTTTTTATACGTATATTTTTTCGTTTTTGAATACATCGATGTTTTTTGCAGAAGTTCGCGCTTGCGACCCATTAATATGAGGCGTCGTCTTCTGAGCTCGTTCCGGTACGATCATTCGAGACACAGATATGGGTTCAGTACGATAAAACATCTTTATTAATATACACAGTGCTGTTGTTAATATAGAAAAGTTTGTCAATGTTACATGAGACACGCCCTGTGTGAAATGTTTTTGGGGTATAATTAAAAATTAAAATACCACGCGACGAAAAAGCCCCTAAAAAGTGTCGTTCATTCTATTTGGTCATATCATGATTTAACTACTGATCAAAATATTACACACCACTGCGCCACTTGTTCAAATAATGTTATAAATGTTGGTATTTAGTCGCAGATGATGTATTAACCTAGATCCACTGCATTTTCGAGTTTTTCGTACGAGCGCTGTTCCATTAACAGTAACCTCAAAATTGCGTCTTTAGGCTATTCATATCGAACGTGACTGGTATATAATACACGTTCACATACCGTAATACTAAAAAAAGAAAGGCGCGTGTAGCCTTTCTTTATAAGACCATATTTCTGTTTATTATACCGAATCTGTTGCAAGGAAAATTGATTTGATAACAAAACACTAAAGCCGAATCAGCTTATGTTACAGAATATCCTTTGATCTACAACAATTCTTATGACGAAAAAAAAACATATGAATTTTTTTTCTTAAAAGAGCTTTGTCAGGATTCGGCTATCTTAATCGGGGCTTTGCCAAACATTTCCTATTGCGATAAGGTTTAAACACACCCACAAGGAGCAATAACTAGAAACGAAATATTATGAGATTTCGTTTGAGATTTTTATTTTCAAAGTTCTCCCTGTCTTATATTAAATGTAAGAGAAATTGGGTTAATTTGCTCTGAAGTTTAAAAGTCGGAATTACTTGATCTACACGTAGTTTCTCCAGGAAGCCATTTAAAATTAGTTTAACTACTACTGAAATAGTTTTGGCGCTTTTAACTAATGGGAATGGCATTTCACTTCTCTCAAATTGTGAAGTAATTTCAGTAGGTGTGTTCTGGTTTAGACATTGCTTTGTAATTTTTCATTTTTCCGTCACTAAGTTGAAGCAATGCGTTTTTAACTACTGCAGCATTTACGTTCGATTTACAAATACCAACTAAATACTGAATGTATATCTACTGCTTTGTTGAATCCGTTCCACTTAATTTAAAAGACATTATTTTCTCATGTCCTAATCCTGACAGTATTGATCCCGGTGGTGAGATGGTAAAATCCGCTACGTGAATTCAAACATCAAGTTTTTGTAGACTGAAGATTTTTAATATACCTACTTCTTCCAATTGTCAGAAGAGCAAGATTGTGTGGTGAGAGGAGGGGGACATTTTGAACCAAATCTTTCATTTAACTCTCAAAAATAAAATATAAAAATTAGTTGAAGAAATATTACGTTACTTTATTCAACATGTTCCATATTCTCTAATTGTGTTGAAATATTAATCAATAAAACAAGATATTATCTTCCCCAAACAATAATTTGTATTTCTGCTTTGGTAATTACCGATGTTGCAGATACGATGTAAGAATTGCTGACATATGTTTCGGTCTGATTAACGACAGACCATTTTCAAAGCAAAGAACTACAAGATTCATACAATTATGGTGTGGTCTATGTTAACAAATTATTACTTACTTATACCAAAGAGTAATAGTACATTATATATCAAGGTAGAGCAGTACAGTATTATTGCCTGAGCGCCAAGATTACATCTCGAGGCGCTTGCGAGGTGCGAAGGCAATAATAGACTTCTCTACCGTGGTATATATACTATTTTTTTCACTACTAGCACTTGAAGTCCTCTAAATTAACATATTATATTGATAAGAAAGTGAACGGTTGGACAGAATGTTTTGTTTATTAATTTAACATGTTAATCAAGTACGTGGAAGTACAAGTCAAACAGGCCGTATTTTGTTCTGTCATTGAGATATTTTCAAAGAGTAATTTCGTTCGAATTTTTTCAAAATGTGATAATTTTAGATATGTAATTTCTCTGGAAATGGCTGATGGTGGCAATTATTCATTTTAGAGAACTTGTCTAAACGTTTATTGAGCGAAATTTCGGGTTGTGTTTTCTAAAAGTGACAGCGTGACAGTTCTCATTATTGACTACTAGTTAATAATGCCCACATTATTAACCACTTTGAACAAATGCCGAGAAAGCCTACTTTACAAGTAGAAAAAAGGTTAATAATCATGTCATCAGACGCTAGTAGTGAAAAAAAACTATTCTGTGCTTATACATTGAAAGAATAGGTGTTCGTTACAATAACTAGTTAAACGGCCGAATCTGGGGTGGATGCCAAACTATAGAAGGCCCAAGGCAATGTCTCATGGCACCTAATGGGGAATATCTGTGAAGTCTATGTTAATCGAAATTCTTAAACTTACCCTAACTTACATGTACAGGGCGAGTCCACGATTGCGCGGAGTAACTTAATGCCTTGAAGATAAGATTTTTCGATACGCTGCTTTATATTATGATATGGTTGAATATTCTCCACATTTTAAAAATATTTGGAATGCCAGACAAGAAGCGCTCACAAAGTAGGGCGCTAAAATGGTACATTTTTCTAAATGGAACCCCATGTATTTGAATGCATTTTTTAATTATATATGTTTTCCTGGTTTTTATATTCTAATCGTAAATCACTTATATGTATTTTACATAATAAATAAGTGTCTGGAGAAGGAGGTATTCGGGAAGTTCGGAGAAATTATAAGATACGGATCGGGTTGTTCTGGATATTATAACTGGAGCTGAAGTAGGTGAATTCGAAAAGTGTCTCTCACGAGCGTGACGTTTGCTTTTATATCAGCTGGCTGGTTACATTTGAGGAAACAACTGGAAGTCATAACTGAGATAGTCGGGAAGAGAAGTTCCTTACAATTTTAGGTTAATTTTAAACCATTTGAAGCTTTCTATTTTAAATTTTAAATAATAAAGCTCCCAGAAAAGGTCAAATTAAAATAAAAAAAAATGCCACTTTTAAAATTTGAATAGCTCAAAAAGTTGAAAAACTCAAAACATAAATTTCAGTCGAGCTTCAGAGAATTAACCCAAAATTATAAATAACAGACAAACAAACGTTATAATACAGCTATTCAGCGGGATTTTGGAATGGAAACGGAATGGAACGTCTTTAAATCGAGAAAGTATGTAGTGTGATGAGTAAGACTAAAATAACGCCACAATACTATTTTACCTCATGTCAGATTTCGAAGACGCAACAATCCCATAAGGACTATGTACGATGTATTTATTTTAGCTGTACTTTTCGAATTATAACCACTACTGTGAACTCACATTATGGAAAGAAATTTGCACAGCACCCCCAAAAATGTATTACAAGTATTCGATCTAATAATCCAACAAATGGATTTTATTTCATGATCGTATTACATTAGAACCAAAAATTTATTGATCCTTTAAATCCCCACATGCAGAAACCGTTTATGCATTACTAGGACCCTTAAATTTTATATTGAACTGTATTTTTGCGATAACTAAGTATAAAGGAACGGATAACAGTTTTAACATCGTCGTCCACAGCTCAAAGTTTACAATATATTCACAGTTTTAAAGCGTATTCTAACACGTGAAAACGAGAAATCGGAAAAATTAAATGTAAGTGCTCTACAAAAGCTTTCATAGCTTAACTGGGTGCACACGAGTTTATTCTTCTCGAAATAACGCATCTCCACCATCTGGTTCGCACGATACGTCACTCTTGTT